CTGTTACTTTGGTAACTATTTCACTCAGAAGGATTAGCTAGGCCTTGGAAAATGACTAGACACTCGGTCAGGAACTGGTGAAATTGCTCTTCAGTTAAATCTGCGGATGTGGAATATTCATATTGTGCGTCCACTGTTTCACAGCAAATGACAAAGTACGCATGAATCCCTTCAGGTACACATGTTAGTTCAATCCTCAAGGACGAAGCAATAAGGTCACCCTGCCACTCAAAAAAAGGGGATGTTAGGATAGTCCATTAAATACTTATATTGCTCCAAACTCAAAAAAGTACATAAATCTTCAACTATATTCTCTCAATGTCCTTCAAAATTCAGAATCTAAATCTTATCTCACTCACTGCTGAAGTTCTAGTTCAATGAACACATGTGTCGCAGTTTAAAATTAAAAAGAGGAAGTACCTCACACCCAAGACCTGTGTGTGTGTTAATGTGTGTATGCCTTCAAAAAAAGAAAAAGTGAACATATATGGTGAGTTTTCCTCAATTTACACAAAATATGACTTTAGATATCCTTTTGTAATTTCTGTTCTGCTTTAAACACGATGAATAACCTCCAGGTCATGAACTTTGGACTTATAATCCTGATATAACTCCACACAATGCACCGAGTACGGAGAAAATGCAACATCAGTATTTAAAATTCTCCACACAATTGAAAAACTGTTTCTATCATTTATTTAACCAAGAACTTTATCAAATGGACCTCAGAAGACCCATCAACATTCAGTACCTGTATATTACCGCAGTTAATGATGCTCAAAACTCAAAACAGTCAGTGTCAAATCAGTCAACCTTGACGTTTTCACTGAATCACGGCGGATTCAGATATAGGCAGTAAAAACTTCTAAAAACCAGCAATGTTTCTTTACAGGGACCACGCCAGATCCACTGACATTTATCAACATTAAATCAACAATGTCAACATTGATTTTCATTCAGAATTACCTTGTCAGAAAACCTTTTTACTATCACACACTTGGCTTCCTGAAATTCTGCTTCACGTCAGAAAACCTTGCCCAACCCAAGGTTTATTTGCCGGACCTCCACGTCCGGGATTACTTTTCCTATTGTTACAGCCCTAACTGGGCCTCCTGATACTGCCCTTGTGTGGGCGTGGTGTTTTTCTCCGCCTCCTCCTCTTTTGTTCCACCCCTCTGTCTCTCTCTTGCTCTTCTCTCTCCCCAGGATACAGCTGCTGCTCATTGGACTCATTTACCACCTGGGCCCAGTCAGCAATCACCTCTCTGAGGTCATATAAGCTGGGGATGAGCTGTGAGCAGGGGGTGGGGTGTCTCTGCTTGGTGTGTAGGTAGCCTGCCTGAAGTGTGGAGTTGTGGAGTTGTGGAGTTGTGGAAGCAGTATAGATGCTTTACGTGAGTAGTGTGGGCTTGTGGGCCTTGGCAGCAGTAAAGCCAGCTGCTGTTAGTGACAGGGTGAGCTTGTGGGCCCCTGGAAGTGCCTCCTCGTGGTGTGGAGTTTTTGTTTGGTTGTTGTGTTCTTTGTTGTTGCAACCTTTTTTCCCTTTTTCGGCATGTTATTGGTAATACGGCGTTGCCGGCTCCTTATGTTATGATTATCTATAATAAAGACTATGTTATTTTACTAAGAACACCTGTCTGTTTTCCTTTCATTCTGTTCTGGACTCATTTGTTACTGGTCCCCTCACTCGCATGCCTAGACCCCTTCGGGGGGGACGTAACACCTATGAACCAATAACTGTATAACTGTATAACGGTAATGTGAGGTCAGGCTGGACCAGGACGGGTGCTGAAGAGAACAGGTTCTTAAGTTCTTGAAAAGCAGACTTGGCCGCATCGGTCCACTGAAAAGGAACTTTTGGAGAGGTTAGTTGAGTGAGAGGCAAGGCAACTTAGCTGAAGTCCTGAATAAACCTCCTGTAAAAGTTTGCAAATCCAAGGAACCGCTGCAACTGGAGTCGATTCGGAGGCTTTGGCCACTCCACAACAGCTTTTACCTTAGCTGGGTCCGGACGGAGGTTCCCTCGGTCGATTATGTAACCTAGAAAGGCGACTGTGGAGACATGGAATTCACATTTTTCTCCCTTGACAAACAGTCGATTCTCTAGGAGGCGTTGTAGAACCTGCCTGACGTGGTTTTCATGTTTTGACTGGGATTTTGAAAAGATCACAATGTCGTCTAAGTAGACGAAAATGAAGTGGTTAATAAAATCCAGAAGCACATCATTAACTAATGCCTGAAAAACTGTTGGGCCGTTGGTTAAGCCGAAGCGCATCACCAAGTACTCGAAATGTCCCAGGTGGGTGTTAAAGGCAGTTTTCCACTCATCACGTTCGCAAATGCGGACCAGATGGTAAGCTTTTCTCAAATCCAACTTGCTAAAAATGGTTACTCCCTGAAGGAGTTTGAAGGCAAAGGTGAGAAGGGGCAGCGGGTATTTGTTCTGGATGGTGATTTTATCCAGCCCGCGGTAATCGATGCATGGTCGGAGTGTTTTGTCTTTTTTTTCCACAAAGAAAAACCCAGCGGCGACAGGAGAGGAGGAAGCGCGAATGATGCCGGCAGAAAGGGATTCAGAGATGTATTTCTCCATAGCCTCTCGCTCAGGGAGGGAGAGGCTATAGAGACGACTGGTTGGCAATGGAGTGCCGGGGAGCAGGTCAATAGCACAGTCGTAAGGACGGTGCGGAGGGAGTGACTGTGCATGGTCTTTCCGAAAAACCTTAGCAAGGTCATGATAAACCGAGGGAACGGAAGTCGGAAGACACAGGCGGCTCTGATGGAGAGGCCACCCGGCTGGAAGTCGAGGCAGCTTTTAGGCAAATCATGTGGCACTCCTCCCCCCACCCAGTGATACATCCCTTCTGCCAATTGATATGTGGGTTGTGTTGTTGAAGCCAGGGATGCCCCAAAACCAGCGGAGTTTGAGTGGCTCGGAAGAAAAAAAACCAAATCTCTTCCGAATGGTTGCCTGACAGGATGAGTGTTACAGGTCCGGAAACGTGCGTAATGTCGGGAAGGCGCTATCCTGACAAAGCAGTGACACGCAGGGCATGAGGCAAGGGGTCCAGATTCAGACAGAGCTGTTGAGCTAATTCCGAGTCAATAAAGTTCTGTTCGGCGCCTGAGTCAATTAAAACGGACAGAGAATGACACTCTGAGTGGACGAGAACTTTAGCTGGAAGCATTAATCGTGGAGGAGATTTGTCTTGACCGAGTCCGCCCACCAGTACTCCTACCATTACTGGTGGGTGCGCCCTTTTGCTCGCGACGGGCAGGTGGCGACAACATGTCCTTTGCGACTGCAGTACAAGCACTCACCAGCTGAGATTCAGCGTTCGCGTTCGGCCGTAGAGAGATGAGAGCTGCCTAACTGCATGGGTTCTTCCTCACTGCCCCCACTCCCAGGTGCTCGGGGAAAAACAGATTCGGGCGCGGCTCTCGCTCCCAGTTGCCCCAGTGCCTCATGGGATGTGTAGTTTCGCTGTGTCCGGCGAGCCCGCAGCCGCTCATCCACCTTAATGCATAAAGACATTAATTCATTAACACAGCGGTTCCCAAACTTTTTTCCCCACACAGTCCTCCCATTTCAGCTCGGCCTGTTTTAAGTAAGAGTCCATGATTTTAAACAGTTCTTCTGCAGTGGCTCTGGTAAGAACTTGTTTGCGGAAAAGTAATTCCTCCCTCATCTCATCTCCATCAATGAATCTGACATACGTTATCAGTAAGCAGTCTTTGTTACTATCAGTGGCTTCATCCATCTGCAGAGAAAAGCGGCTGTCACGCACCTTATCAATAAGTTGCTCCTCTATGTCCTTTGACATATCATAAATGCGCCTGCCGATGGTATTATTGGACAGAGGAATACCCCGTAGTTTGCTGGCTGCTGCGTCGTCAATCATAGTTGAAACCATATCCATAGCACAGGGAAGTATTAATTCTTCTGCAATTTTGTGCGGCTTTTTACACCGAGCCACTCGGTAGGCAACTTTATAGGAGCTGAGAAGAGCATTTGTCGAAACAGATGCAGCTTTAGTAAAGAGACACTGTTGACCACGACAATTTCGAAGTTTTTGTCTGAAAAAGTCTACTGATTTGTTTTTGTGCTCTGGAGGTTTTGTCTCCAAGTGGCGTCTTAGCTTGTTAGGCTTTAAACTGTCACAAGCTAGCATTTTAAGACAGACAACACACTGCGGCCTCTCCTCATTACCCACCGTTGCACAGGCGAAGCCAAGCGCAAGATATGCTTCATCATATTTTCTGCTTTTTGGTTTGGAAGGAAGTGGGTCAAAGGAGCTTGCAAAGAAAAGCGTCTGGACTTCTTTAAGTTGCTTGAAGATTAGAGGGTGATGATAAGAGGATCATCATGGGGTCCTTTTGTCCCTCTTTGGGGGAATACTCCCACTGGGTTTAAATCTGGGACTCTCCGCCATTTGACCTTAGAACTGAAGAAGCTTCGTGGATGAGAGGTGAAACGTCTTCAAGCAACTTGGAGAATTCCAGACGCTTTTCTTTGCAAGCTCCTTTGACTACGATGACCTGGATGACTGAGAACCTTCACAGACAAGGAAGTGGGTCTGTATGCATATTTGGTGATGCTTCATCTTCTGCTTTCCGTTTGTGTGCGAGCCCCGTCAAAAACCTGTCCATTATGCTAGCTAGCAGAGTTCTTTTTTTTTTTGTGGG